AGTAGTGAGGTTGGCCCAGGATCCCACATTGTTTCGTTCTGCTGTGCATAAGGTCACTATGAGTCGGTGCCGACTCGATGGCACCTAACAACAACAACTGGCTGTTTGTTTCAAGGTGAACTTAGAAGCTCCAGAGCATCTAATTCCTCCCCTTACCTCCCTTCTAGTGAGTGAGCCCAGTATCCATATAGGTCAGTTTTCAGGTACAAAACTGACTTTGTTACTAGTATGAGGCAGAGTAGTCATTCCAGGTAGTCCGGCTTTACCATTTGTCAGTCATAAGACCTGAGAAGTTACTTAGCCTCCATCTGCCTTCTCTGTAAAATGGGAATAATAATAGTGTACATTTTATATAGGATCAGATTAGCTAATAAATGTAAAATTATTATAACAGCTTTGCTAAATGGCAAGTTTTCAGTTAATGTTAGTTGTCATGATTTTGAGAACAAACAACTTCTTTTGTGGTCTTTACAATGCCTCACATATAGAAGGTACTCAAAAAAATTAGTTGACTTGAATTGCATAGAAATTAATAGACGTAAGCACACAGAATAGAGTTTTATTCTAATGAGGAGTCAAATCCCATTGAAATACCATCATTTACCTTTGCCAGTATGCATCTCCACGCGTACTTCAAAAAGTTCATGGAAAAACTTCATTATCTTTTCATTCTAATTTTCCATGAATTTTAATGCCCCCTGTATCAGATCCCAACTAGCTTAAATCCCTTCAAAAGGTTTGTGTTTCTTCTGCTCTCCAGAATCCATGGTAGCTCTTTTTTCCACATACCTTTTGCCTGCTACTTCCAGAATTCCACTGCCCCAGAATTTTTCCATATTAAAAGCACTTAAGTATTCAAGTCACTTTGCAGCAGCCTGGCTAGCTTAAATATTTCCCTTGTTGAGTGAGGTATGTGAAGATAGAGTGAGTCACTCCAGCACCCCAACATATTTTGAAAGGAAATACTCTAAGGAAAAATCTATTTTGAATCTGGATAAATAACTAATATTCAGTCCATGCTAAGGGGACTCTTTTTTTAATTAAACATTTTTGTTGAATAAAGGTCATTCTATCCAGATGGTATTTCCATTTCCTAACAAGCCCTAGAGCAAATTTGTCCATGACATTCAGCTCAAAACCTGCCTTTGTACCTTAGGCATTCCCATCCACTGTCTCTGAGTGGCCAGCTGGTTTGGGTCAGGCCAACCTGCCCTAGCCCAGCCCTGAGCCACTGCCTCCCCGCCTATCAGCCCTTCATTCTCTACATCCTCTGATTTCCAAGTGGGGGCAAGGAGGGACACGTGAGCCCTGACTCCAAGGAAAAAATCTGAGCAGTCTTTCCAAGGGAGTGAACTAAGAGCCGGTAGGGAAAATTTCCTCTACATTTGAGGTGCAGGATTACTCCCTGAGCATTTTGCTCTTAGCCAAAACACTTGACAACTGGATGTTTCCTATGAATGGTTTTGTCAGTCAATATATTAAATCTACCAATCTTCCTTATTAATTCTAAGAGTCCTTTTTTTTTTTCTTTCCCAAACAGCAGCAGAGTTTATCAATGACTCTTTTATATTATATGGATTATGAAACAACTTCCTTTTTTTTTAGTTTATTTATTCAGATCAATATGTTGTTGTTGTTGTTAAGTACCATAGAGTCGGTTCCGACCCATAGCAACCCTGTACAGGGTTTCCGAGGCTGCAACTCTTTACAGGAGCAGAAAGCCTCATCTTTCTCCCGCGGAGCGGCTGATAGTTTCAAACTGCTAACCTTAAGGTTTGCAGCCCAATTCGTAACCACTATGCTACCAGAGCTCCTTAGATCAATAAAGACCTAGAGAAAAGCAATTTCTCTACAATAGTATCTTGCAGGTGCTGGATCATCCAAATAACCCTCTTTCTCATTGCTTCTTTGAAGGCGGCTGAAAGACTCAATTGCTCCCTGTTCGTGCATCCCTGGGACATGCAGATGGATGGACGGATGGCCAAATACTGGCTCCCTTGGCTTGTAGGTTTGTGTGCATTTGGGGTCCAGGAACAGAGAACCTACTCTTGGGTTTTTCCAGTCATCGGTGGAACCTATTATGCCAAAGAGAGAAAGTATGAATAATTAAGTGTATTGTAAGTAATAACAACTATTATTTATTGAACTCTTACTCTGAGATGGCTGTTCATATGACTTCATATACTTTTCATTGCATCATCACAAAACCCTATGAGGTTGGCATTATAATTACATTGATAGAAAAACTACATCTTGGTGATTAGGTAAGTTGCCCAAGTCATACAGTTAATAAGTGGAAATAATTACATTTAAACATGGGTCTGTGTGCATTGAATGCCCTTTTCATTCACTACTCAGCTTCCCAAAGACCCTCAAAAGCAAAACAAAACAACCATCCTGCCTAGTAAATTTCTTATAAAAGCTGATAGCAGCATTTGTTCTTACAAATGAAAACCCTGGAGTTACAAGGTCAACTTCTACCAATCATGGATCAGAGGTCACAAATTGTAGATAATTGTGGCTTTCAAACTTTCATGTTGTTAATTTGTCCCTTCTGACCCTTGCCTCCTCCACTTTTCATTCATGGTTCCACAAGAGGGCAAGGGGAAGAGGAGAAGCATCTATGTGGCCTGCCTAACCTCTTGTTACCAGTCCTTATAAGAAAAACACATAGAGAACATGTGCAGAATCCACAGATACGTCTAAAGCCAGAGGTGAAAAGTACAGGTCATCTATGGTTAGGTCCCCAAATGAAAAGTGTTGTGTTTTCTTTCGGAGGATACTCTCTGAAGACAAAATGTACAAGGAATTCTGACATAACCAAAAGAGCAACGCCATGAAAATGTAAAAGAAGCAACATGTTAGAAATCGAACAATCAGGTTTCAGTCCTAGCTAGTCTCTATTTCACCTTATAATCTGTGGCAAGTTATTTTACTGCCTGGGCCTTACTTACTCCTCATGGGTAAAATGAGAGAGCTGGTTTGGATTCTGTTATAGATCTCTTCATGATGTGACATTTCATGTTCCTGTGATTTGCTGATGAAGAGTGATAGAATTAATAAGACTGTTTTCCTGCCTATCCCCCATCAAATTCTTGAGTAACAAAGAAGAGGTCATCTTAGAGGACCCCAGTGCTGTCCAGCTTCAAAGAAAGTCTCAGTCTGTCTGGTTCACACAATTTTAGAAGGCCAACAAATTACTTATAGTATGTTTGTGTGGAAACAGAGCATAGCATTTGCACATAAGGTCAAATCGTTTGTTTGTTCAACTGGTATATCCTGGTCCCCTCTAGCATGCCAGGCCCTGTTCTAGGCACTGAGGGTATAGACAGGAACAAAACCTCTACCCTCAGGGAGCTTATTCTTGTTGGAGGAAAAAGGAACACCTAATAAAGTAACACATAATAAACAGGCAAGCAGACTAATTTTAGGCAGAGAGAAAACAGGGGTAGGACTGAAGCATAGTAGGTAGCATGTGCTTTCAGGAGCCACCATGAAAGTGTGAAAAGGTAGTACAGGTAGTCCCCGACTTAGAATGGGATTCCATTCTGCCCACTTTTCATAAGTCGGTTCTGACATAAGTTGAATATCTTTTATATGTAAAAAATAGTTTTCATTATTATTGACATTTATTATCAGTAGTTTTCTAAAATCTGTTCTTTAGTTGTATTTGGGGATTGGAAATTATTACATAAAAATTTATAGGTACATATTAATACATGTTGTTGTTAAGTTCTAACGAGTTGGTTCCAACTCATAGCAACCCTGTATAAGGTTTCTGAGGAGCATCTGGTGTGTTTGAACCGCTGACTTTACACTTCAACCTTGCGATCCAGTGCTTATCCTATAGGACCACACCAGGACTTCTATATATACACATACATTAAAAATACACAAATCATAAATATTTACTCTGATGAGTAAGATGAGTTGAACAACATTGGCATTTTGTTTGTTGTGATAATATTACTACTTGTGGAAGGTTGTGGGTCATCTGGACTACCCTTGGGAGTGGAGTTAGCATTTCTGGTCAGAAAATTAGTGCAAGCTAGTCCTTTTCTTCTTCATATATTTCACAGTAACATCTCACTGCTTCCAGAATGTGCCTCTTTTAACAAGGTGGTCAGCATTTGGGTCCATATTTTCAAGCAACTAATACCCCTGATTTTGTTTAGAAAAAATTTCAGCTAAACCTTTACTGTAAATTTTTTAGACAACTTTTCTCCTGCTGATCAGTCAACTCTTCTTCTTCTTTAATCTATGAGCAGTTCTACATTGGTGATATCAAATTCTAAATCCAGCATTCTTGCCATATAGGCTATCTTTCTACCAATCTTGTCCATCATATCATCCTGATCAAATGTTTGGAGCGTTTTCACATAACTCAGAAAATTTTTTCCAAATCCCCATAACTTCTACCAGCAAGATGCAATGTTTCAGATATACTAAAGAATGTTACAAGGAAACTGCCATTGAAAGGGTTGTCTGGTACATGTGTAGGTCACTTACCATGTGTTTTGAGTTGAACATTGCCCAAAACTTTGAATTTGTTACAACTCATTGCATTAACACCAAAACAGACATCATTGTAGGCCAGGCCTTAGCCTGCTATACTGCAGCGTTTTAAATAGTAAGTCATGATATTGAACCTCAGAGAATGATAATACCAGCAAATTATAACCCTGTGTGTTGTACATTTACTAGTGATAAGCTGTATCAAAACAAAACCAAAAAGCTCAAACAATCGTAACTCAATACATCAAGACATAGTGTAAGTCGGGGTCTATCTGTATTTGTATGGTGATACAGGAGGTGTGGGGATGTTGTACAAAAAATAGAGACAGATAGGAATGGGCAGAGGGAGAGGCAGCTACAAAGCATTCATGTGGATACAATCCTGGAGTTTTGTTTCTTCAAGGAATATTATAAATAGGCCTGGGCATCACCCTGTGGGGCAAAAACTCCTTTAACCTTACATTTACCATTTCCCTCAGCTTTCAATCCTGTTTTCTTCCCCTTCACAGCAAAGCTTTTCAAAATTATTACCTACAGCTCAAAACCCTACACTGGGTCTTTATGAGTTGGAACAGACTCAATGAGGTTTAACAACAACAAAGGTCATCTCCACTCCCTTGTCTCCCATCCTACATATACTCCAATCAGACATTTCCTCTGTCATTTCTCTAAAATGTCAACATCAAGCAAGTGAATTCCATTGTAAAGTTCAATGATCGTTTCTTAGTCTTCTTTTTACCACTGGGCAATATTTAACCCAGGTGACCAAACTCTTTCTTAAAACGCTCTCTGGATTTCCCAGTCTACTTTGTTGGTCTCTCTCTTTGTCCTGATCTCAAAATGTTGGACTGCCTCTAGATTAAGTCCTAAAACCTATTCTGTCCTCAATCTATACCTCTCCCTGGGAGACCTCATCTAAATACCAGTAATATGTCACCAACTCCCAAATTTTCATTCAGTTTTACCTGCTCCCCTAAGTTTCAGACATGTTTAGCAAAGTGATATGTCTACAAGGGTATCACATTCGTTGTGAGTGCTGTTGAGTCGGTTCCGACTCATAGCGACCCTATGTAGAGTTTCCAAGGAGTGGCAACAACATACTTTGTTCTTAACTTGGAGATTGTTCCAAACACCTGTCAAGTTCTTTTTAATGGCTGAATAACATTCTACACCTTTTTTCATTTAACCTGACCCTTATTGATGGACTCTTGTGTTATTCCCAACAATGCTGCCATGAACATCTTTGTTACTGTTCCTCGAGGAACAGATTGTATCCTCCCTTGGGACCTTTGTTTTACCTATTTTTCCTGCCCTAAAATCTCTTCTTTAGATTTGATACAAGGCTGGCTCCTGTTGTTTTCTTCTTAAAGAACCCTGGTGATGCTGTAGGGTACGCACTAGACTACTACCCACAAGGTGGGGGGTTCAAACTACCAGTGGCTCTGCAGGAGAAAGAAGAGGCTGTCCGCTCCTGTAAAGGCATAGTTTTGGAAACCCTATATAGGATCACTATGAGCTTGAATAGACTTGATTGAAGTGGGTTTGGGGGGGTTTTGTTGTTGTTATTGCTGTTGTTTTGCTTCTTTTAAACATCCTTTGGGAGTACAAATGGTTTGTTCTAAACTACCTCATGCTGTAGGATAAGCACTAGACTGCTTACCACAAGGTTGGTAGTTTTAACCCACTAGCTGCTCCTCAGAAACCCTATACCAGGTCACTATGAGTTGGAATTGACCTGACAGCCCTTAACAATTAAAAAAAATGTTGGTAGTTTGAATCTACCTAGTGATGATCTCATTACCTCAGAAGAAAGTCCTGGTAATCTACTTCTGAAAGATTGCAGCCACTGAAAGCCCTTTGTAGCACAGTTCTACTCTGAAATACACGAGTCACTATGAGTCAGAGTTGACTCAGTGCCAATGGGTTGGGTTGAGTTTGGCTCTTTCTTGTCAACTTGGTCATCCATTCAAAATTCACCTCCTCAGAGAAGCCTTTGCTAACCCCCCAAGTCACTTGATTTCATTAATACCCTGGTTTTATATGGCGCTGTGGGTTAATGCACCAGTCTGCAAAGCTGTTTGAACTGCAATATTGGTGGTTCAGGCTCACCAGCTGCTCCTGGGAAACCCTATACAGGATCATTATGGGTCAAAACCGACTCAATGGCAGTTAACAACAACATATATATTTATGTAAGTATTTTATTGTGAATTCAGTGAAGGTTTACAAAGCAGATCATCAGAAAATCATATACTTGGTTTTATCTTAATGATTGCAATCCCCACCATGTGACAACAGGTACTCCACTTTCTCCCTGTCGTTCTGATTTCCATTCTATCCTCCTTCCCATTCCTTTGTCCTTAGGTAAATGTTGCCTTTTTGATCTTGAATGTTGACAATTGCATGGTGAACATATCTTACTAGTGTTGTTGTCCCCCCTATATAACTAATGTTTGGCAGAAAATTAAGCCACAAGGATGAGTTCAGTAACAGACTTGAGAGTGGCCAAGGGCCATAGTCTTGAGTTCCAGTATGTTTCTGACCAATAAGCCTGGTCTTTTTTCATAATTTTGAGTTTCGCTCCACATTTTCTTCCACTTTATACAGGACCATCTAATGTAATCCCTTTCAGAACAGTTAGTGGTGGTAGCAAGGCACCATCGAGTTCTGCTGGCCTCAAAGTTATGAAGACTGATATTCACATGTTGGACAAATTGATTCCAAGCACCATCAATTTTCATTACACATGGAGAGACCAATAGTTGCACCTTAGATGATCACTCGTGACCATTTAAGATCTCAGTGCCTACTCACCAAAGTAGAATATAGAACATTGTCTTTGCAGGCTATGTTATGCCAGTTGACCTTGGTGTTTCCTGAGATTGGTCCTAAGCCCCCAGGCCCAGCAATTCTTAGCTCCACAGTGTTTGGTAATATCTAAACTTTCATAAATTTGCCCCTGTATGCTTTACCACATTCATAAATGTGTTTGCAGTAAAGGTAAATACCCATGTACCAATACCATCTGTCAAAGTTTATGTATTTATGGGTATTCTCCCACTCTTGCTCTAGTCTCTTTAATGCATGCATTCCTTCACCTGTCTTCATTATGCTTCAGCCAACCTCACTTTTGTTGTATATTGCCTTCCCTGTCACCTGAGTGAACATGAGTCTAAACTCCAACCCCACCCACCACTTGTGTGTCAGTTTGTTGTACTGTGGTTGCTTGAGTTGTTGCTGTGATTCTGGAAGTTATGCCACCAGAATTTAAAATACTAGCTGGGTCACCGATGTTAGACAGGTTTTTTAGCTGAACTTCCAGATGAAGGCAGACTAGGAAGAAGGAAAGATGGGCTACTTCTGAATATTTAGTCACTGAAAATCATAAATAGCAGTTGGCACCAGAACACTGAATATTGGTGATTTTCTTTTGGGATCTGTCCTATTTGAGGTTCCTTCAGCTTCTTGTATCTTCTTGTCTTTCATGATGTTAGGGAAGTTTTCTTCCAAAAAGTCTTTGACAATTATCTCAATGTTTGTCTCTTTCTGTTCTGGAATTTCTAACACCTGTAAGTTGTTCCTCTTCATGGTGTCCCACATAATTCTTAGGCTTATCTTGGACTTTTTCATTATTTTTTCTGATTGTTCTAGCATACTAGTATTGAGAAATTTCTCTTCAAGCACATTAATTTGTGCTTCCATTGCTTTGCATCTACTCATTTGCCCTTTCAATGTATTGCCCATTTATGAGATTTTAGTATTAATCTTCTGAATTTCTAATGGCAGTATTTATATTATTTCAAAATAATAATTTTTATTATTTTAAAATAATACTTTTTCTTTATAATAAATACAACTTATTAGTAAGTTGGTCATTTGTTTGAGTCATTCTCTGTTTCTTAGTGTGAACTAAAATTGTCTTTTGTCTCCAGAGCATTGTGAGGTCCTCATATTTATAAACACAAACAGTGCAGTTGTTGGACCCGAAAGGGAGACACCTCCGGTGGGCTCCTGCAATTCAAGGAGCTCATGAGGTGGTTGTGGAAGGGATGTGACAGCAGACTCCCTAGCCCTAGATGGAATTCCTACTGATCTCGGTGTTATCTATGTTCAGGGCACTCAATCCAGAATTAATTTGTGGTCACTCTTGATGAAGCTACTTCATTGTCTGTTAAGACCACAGGGAAGCTAAAGGCAGGAAGACTGGTTTAAATGCTGGTCTGGTGGCTTTGTGGTCTGGAGCCAAATCCAGGCACCAAAGCAGCACACCAAAGTGGCACAGTCAGCCCCGACCTCACCCTAGTGTGGCTCCTAAATATGCAGCTCTGAACTCTTGGAGAGTAGGGTCTGTGCTGGGAGAGGATGACGGTGGGAGCTGGCCACACTTCTGGTCATGGGGTGGGGAGAGCAAGGAGAGAAAGTAAAAAGAGCAGCTCTTCTGCAGCCCGCGCAAATTTGCTCTGCCAGGCCTCCCTCCACTGCCAAAGCTGCTCATAAGGTGGTGATGTTGCATCTGGCTAGTTGTTCACCAGTCTCTCCCTCTCTCTCCATAGCAAGCATTCCATCCTCCTAGCAAGCATTCCATCCACCTCTCTCACCTTTCTTCCGAATTTAGGGTGCCAAAATTTTCATCTGTGTCTATTGTTTCACTTTGTCTCTCTTATCTTTGTTGTAGAGAGTCCGTGTAGTGTGTGTCTAGTCTGCCATCTTATATGCTTGCTTCTTGACTGTGTTCTAGTCATTAGATGATTCTATTCACAAGTGCAAAATGAGATGTTCACATGGTTCTCTTTGCCAGAATAGTGGCATGTATACAAACAAACCATGCTGGGACACAGAGGACACTGAGTCCCATGTTTCTTGGCATTGATGATTATGAAGAGCTTCCATTCCCCAGGGATCAGTGTATCTGAGCTTTTTCTTGCTCCAGGTAACAAGCCCTCACTTTGTGACTGTCTTCCTCTTTCAGGAATGCCAGCGGAGACCACCACAGCCATTTGCTCTATGATCATGGGTGGAGTGTTTGCAAAGTTTCCTAAACTGAAAGTGTGTTTTGCACATGGAGGTGAGATCCTGACCTTCCAGTCATCATTCTAGTCATAACAGTTATGATGACTATGGTTCAAGGGCCAAAGACCATTTTTGTAGGCTAAGCTTGTTTGGTTCTAAAAGTTTTTGTTTTGTTTTAATTTAAATCCCTCTAATCAGATGGGGCTCTGTGGGATAAGCACTGGACTCGTAACTGCAAGGTCGGTTCCACCAGCCACTCATGGAAACCCTATTCAGTGTTGCTATGAATCAGAACTTACTCAATGGCACTTACCAACAAGGTCTTTTGTGGAATTCTGGTGTGGCACTGTAGGATAAGCACTGGACTGCTAACTGCAAGGTCAGTGGTTCAAACACACCAGTCATTCTTCAGAAACCCTATCTAGGGATCCTATGAGTCAGCAGCGACTTAACAGCTCTGAATAACACCAACAGGTGTTATTTTTTCGTAAACACTGTTCATTGAAGGGGCTCCATGACCTCTCCTTGCATCTAATATCAGGTCTGAAATGAATACTTTGCAACCAATACCAGTCCTTAGTAATGGGCTGTTCTTGCAGGTGGTGCCTTCCCCTTCACGTTGGGAAGAATCTCCCATGGATTCAGCGTGCGTCCAGATTTGTGTGCCCAGGACAACCCCACCAATCCAAAAGAATACCTTGGTTCCTTTTACACGGACTCCTTGGTTCATGATCCTCTGGCTCTCAAACTGTTAACAGATGTCATAGGAAAGGTAAGCTGGAACTGCCGTTCAGATGGCTTAATGAAGCAATGTACTATATCAACAAGCAGTTACTTTGAGTCTTTTCAAAAAAAAAAAAAAGGAGTGAAAGAAAGGAGAGAGGCAGTGATATTTGAGGACAGGTTTATATGCACAGGACCTCCTGGACCTCCTTTAACATAGAGTGTGTATGAACCAAGGAACCATTATTTATGACAGAGAAATCCCAGATCATCCACATGACTGGATAATTACCCAAATCAGCCTCTTCCTGTACCCATCCTGTACTATTAGAGGTGGCAATATAGTAAGCAGGAAAGAGCCACCAGTTTTAAAATCAAATTAACCTGGGTTAAAATTCTGACTCCTCCTCTTACTAGTTGGGCAAATTATGAACCCAATCATCCTCATCACCTAAAAAGAGATAATTTGGACATTGAAGAAGGAGAGACATACAGTGCCTGATAATGGAATTGGACAGGTAGGCAGAGAAGCATGATGAAGGATCTTGGGTACGATACTCTGAAATTTCTTCCTACAATAGTATGGCCTTATTTGATCACAGAGATCAGCGTGGTGGTACTTTACACTCCATTAAAAAAGGCCTGTTCTCTCCTCTACTGTGATCTGCTAGCAGATCTTCTTGGTGATGGAGCTCCTACCTGTAAGTATACTGTGAGGATTCTAACTGAGTAAGTGAGATAAATTTTAGACCAAATGCCAGTCAAATTAGAAATATTTGATATTCCAATTTTATTACCTCCAGATAACACTAGAAGTTATTTCCAAAAAAAATCTGGCAATATGAGAGGGCTTCATAAAGTTCATGGAAATATGGAATTAAAAGATAATGGAATTTTTCCAGGAACTGTTGAATCCCACTCATATTTAAAGATTCGCAACAAGGTACTTGCATTGATGAGGCCCTAAGGTTTTTGAAATCTTCTTTTGCCAATAAAGAGATCTGTCATTAAAAGTTGCCAGTAGTCTTCTATCTCCAGAATGGAGACATCATCTCATTTTAAAGATGTTTCTTAAGTTGGAGAAAATCATAGAAGACAAATGTTAAACATTCTGGTTTGGTCATCAATTAGTGTTATGTTGTGTCTGAAACTTCTAGCTTGTGTGTCGTCCTTATGGAGATACATGCTTAGCAGTTGGTTGTGACTTATGATTGCTATAGTTTTGGAGTTAGGATTAATGGGGAGGTATAAGCAGGAAATTACAAAAAGTAGAAACTAAAAAAATACCTCTTGTTAAGAGACTTTGTAAGACTCTGTACTTAGCAGAACAGGAAAAAAAGTGATACAGCTTTGGAACAGATTATTCTCATCACTCCACCTGACCTGTCAAGTCTAGTACTCCCCTCTGGTGTTCTGGGAAGCTGCAACTTCAGAAGACAACACCCTTGGCAAACATAACATCTGTCTTATGAGAGATACCAGTAGCATTGACCATCAAGCAGCATCCAGGACAATATACATTGACTAGTGGGTTCAAGCTCACCAGCTGCTCCTTGGAAACCCTATACAGGGTCCCTACGGGTCGGAATCAACTTAACAACAACAGGGAACCAGAGTAGCAAATGAAAAACATGGCAAATGATTAACAATGACAGCATCCCTCTGGGCATCCCAGAAACACTTAGAGGATACTTTGCAAAACTAGTGGTACTTAGATCTGACATTCAAACTGTGAAGGTTTGAGCTATTATAATGCGGACCTCAAAGCAAATATGACCTAACAGACAGGTAACTCTAACATATGGAAGCAGTATATGTTAATAATTTAAGATTGTCTTTCAAATATTAATACTTCCTCATTCTAGTTATTTTCATATTAGCAAGTTTTCTCTCAAAAATACTCCAAAAACCAGAATGGCCAAAGTCCTAGCATGGTATCTGGGCTAGAGAACCACCTCTCCAGCCCACAGCAAGAGGACAGAATGCTGAGGAGGAGATAAAGGAAAGAGAAAAACTGGAAATGATAGATGATTAGGAGTGCTTGAGAACCTGAAAGTATTTTTGACATCATTTGATAGATCTGGTGAGGCAATAAGAACTATAAGTAATACATACACAGAATATTAAGCAAATGAGAGAAAATGAAATAATGAACTCCAAGAGAATCTGCGTGAGGACACATAATCATTGTATGTTACTTGACTCAGCAGTGAACATTTATAGTCATATGGTGTAAATACTAAATAGGGCTTTAATTAAAAAGTGTAATTATTTTGGGAAGATAGAAGAGAGAACTAGAGGTGGGAAATAAATTCTCAACAACCACACAGGAAGTCAATAAATACTCTGTAAAGCTAATAAATCAAGAAATAAGAGTATATACTTTTTACCTGGAGATATGTAAATAATTATCAGAAGATACAGGTTAAAAAGATAAATGTGGTTGCCTTTTGGAATGGTGGTGGTTGTGTGCTTGGAGTTGTCTCCGACTCATAGTGACCCTGTACAGGGTTTCCTAGGCTGTAAATCTTTACAGGAGCAGAAAGCCTCTTTTTCTCCCTCAGAACAGCTAGTTGTTTTGAACTACCAACCTTGTGGTTAATAGCCCAAGAGGTGGGAAAGTGGGGCTTTCCAGGTTCTGAAATTTTCTTCTTCTTGTTTTCTTATTCCTTGTCCTTGTGGGTATAAGTTTTTCAAAAATCTTCTTGCAGAGCAGGAGTGGCAATATTAATTTCTAATAAAATAGACTTTATGGCAACTTTAACACAACATAAGAGACAAGGAAGGACATATAATGATTGAAGAGTGAATCCAACAAGAGGACATAACCATAATAAATTCTATGCAGCCAGTAAGAGAGTTCCCAAATAATAAATCAAACTTTAACAATCTGAAAAACACCTCACAACACAGATGAAACTGGAGGATAATATGCTGAGGGAATTTAGTTAATCACAAAATGATAACTATTATAAGGGACCACTATAATAAAAAGGTTTACTCACAGAAAGAAATATATATTCTTTAAAGGTTACCAGGGGTAGAAGAGGAAGGGAGGGTAAATCACTAACTGGAGAGTTAGACATATAATAATGTGGGTGAAGGAAAAGGCAATCTATGAATACAATAGAGGGGAGATCAGCACAGAATGATCAAAGGATGACTATGGAGCAACAAGTTAAAAGCAAGTAAATCTTATTAGCATACACAATCCTGCAATAATCGTAATAAAATTAATCTACATTGAACACACAGGCATACAAGCTGAACAGGATGGGAAAGACAATGGGTTTGAAAGAAGAACAAAAATCCTTGGGACATATTATCAGGAGGGACTAGTCCCTGGAAAAGGAAATCATGCTTGGTAGTGGGTTAAGAAAAAAGGGAAGATCCTCAACAAGATCCTCAACAGTGGACTCACGCGTAACAACCATTGTGAGGATAGTGCAGGACCAAGCAGTGTTTCTTCTGTTGTGTATAATGTCTGTTATATATAAAGTTTCAATTGATTCAACTGTACCTAACAACAACATATTCATGAATATAGTAGAACATATAGGGGGCAAAATTTACTAACACCTCTTATCCATAATCAAACATCTTGAGGAATGAATTACTGGGCCTGGGGACTCAGGACTATAGTATCCAAGACACCAAGATCAATTGGCATGACATAGTCCACAAAGACAATGTTCTATATCCTACTTTGGTGAGTAGCAAATGGGATCTTAAAAGCTTCTGAGCAGCCATCTAATGTGCTCCCTGCCTGGAGCAAAGAAGAGTGAAGAACACATTTGGAAATAATTAGTCCGAAGGACTAATGGACCACCCCAATCCCAGCTTCCATGACCCTGAAACCAGAAGAATTAGATGGTACCTGGCTACCACTATCAACTACTCTGAAAAGAATAACAATAGGAGGTCCAGAATGGAGTGGGAGAAAAATGAGGAACAAAACTCAAAACCATGAAAAAGACAAGGCTTACTGGTCTGATAGAGACTCTAGGAACCCTGAGACTGTGGCCCTTAGACATTCTTCAAGCCTAGAACCAACTTCATCCCCATGGGTCAACTTTCATCCAAATAAGGTGAACAATAACACCAAGGAGGTATGCATCCCTTAGAACAATCCACCTTTCAATATTAAAAGGGCAGCATTTGCCCAGGAATAAAGTTCAAAGGCAGGAAGGGATAGGAAAGAAGGACAAATGAACACAGTAAGCACAGGGAGGAAGTGGGAAGAGTACTGTTGCATTGTGGGGACTTCAATCAATGTCATGAACCAAACTGAATGAATTGCTGAATGAAAATTTATTTTCTCTGTAAATTTTCAACCAAACAACAATAAAAAATTTTTAATTCAAAAAATAGAAAACTTTTACAAAATAAATATTGAATTTTGTGTCCTTTAAAAAAACAAAAATAGTTTAGGATATTTCATTATTATTTGTAAATTATAGGCTGTACAGCCTTGCTATCACAGAAATTTATAGGAAACAAATACACCTATGTATTAAAAACATATATACATCCATCCATGGAGTCCTGGTGTGGCACTGTGGGTTAATGCACTGACCTGCAACACCAGTTTAAACTGCAAGGTTAGTGGTTCGCACTCACCAGCTGCTCCTAAGAAACAGGGTCACTATGGATCAGAACCGGCTCAACGGCACTTAGCAACAACATACATATATCCTTACAATCTTTTTTTAGTGGGGTTTCAAATATGATACTCAGAACAACACCAACCCACAAGTAGTTTATGATGGCCTGTGATGAGAAAAATAGCTTGCTCTAGAATGTAGATCAAACCAGTTACTAAGCACATTGTTTAATTTAATTGACTTTATTCCTGGCGGGTCTTGCTTGCTACAAGCAACAGTGTATTGATTTACTTTCTGGGGTGAGCTCCTTATCGTGTCTTGGACCTGTAAGAGTTCAGATCAGGTATTTCAACTAATGCTGGTATAGACTTTTTCTTTCTTTCTCTGGGGAAAAGATTTTTTTATCTTACTGGGATTACAGCCCCCTATTGAGTAGCTTGAAGTC